TTTTACAAAATGGGTAAGTTCATTTTGCCCAAGGCAATACTAGAATAAATAACTCGATGTTTTCGGTTTAATAATGGTAAGTCTTTGTGATAATTTCTAACTGCTATTGTAAAAAATCATCACAATCCATAACTTTAAAAATATAATGATTTTTACGTTCCTATCATCATTAAATTTTGAGAGCTGTTTATCTGCTATATATTAAACGACTACCCTACTCCCTTTCACGCCCCTAAACAACTTTTTCATCTTCAAATCATGACCTTAAATTACCCAGTCTAAGTAATCACTAATTATATAACGTTTGTCACTAAAGAAGTTTATTGATTGACAATTACTACGCTAGAGAAATACTTTAGATTTACCCCTTTTCATGCCCTTGAATTAAAACTTTTTTTTTCGCTTAAAACAAGATACGTCTCAAAACAAAGGAATGAGATTGATAAATAATTAATTTTCTTGGGTAATTACATGTCGGAGGTAGGAGATAAGATGTGTATAGTTTTAAGTGGATGACAACATCGTTAACTCCTATGGTATTCCCTTTATATTACATTGAGAAATGGCGTCAGCGGGCCGTCGAACTTGCGCTCTTTATGCCCTCCCCAAAACACCCCTCCCCCAACCCGGTATCGGGCTGTGGAGCGGCACGTCGGGAATGTCTTTTGTCAGGACGGCCTTCAGCCGAGTCTGCTCGACCAGGTCTCCGCTGGGGGCCGTCCTAACCCAAAGATACCCGGTCGGCCCGACACTGTGTTGCACACAGTGCACACGATCGACTTTCGCAGGAGTCGGCATGGAAAAATTTACGTCCTAATATCTTCCCCCACCCATCCCGGGGAAGCGTTAGACGCCCTATAAGAGGGATTCTACAGTGGGTTTCCAAAACGCAACTAATTCGCGATGCAGCTGGGACGAAAACGGCTGCCTTGGAGCAGCTTCTCGGGTCCGCGTAGTAAGAATCATCGGCCAGAGGTTACCACCTTCGCCTCTCGCCTCATATCCATTATTGGGCAACTTGTAATCATGATCCCTACCCTGTCTCTGCCTATTGTTCCAGTTGGGAAGTATCACAACTGGCAGCCCTGTAGGAGCTGTTTAATGTACGGCAGGTACTAAGCACATCCCTTGTCTGCCCACGCAGGACTCGCCCAGTAGTTTTGTACCCCAGGTAACGCCGAGGGGGTCGGTGGCCGAAGCCTCCCAATCGACAATTCACCACAGAAATGTTACATTCTCTGTTTACAAATATGGGTAATCATCATGTGAAATTATCATCACACCATCGTCATCATCATCATCACATCACCAAAGTAACTTCATCATTACATCCTCAGAGCGGTATCAAAATCATCATTTCTTCACGATGTCATCATCATAACATTATCATCGTGACATCTTTATCATTGTGTCATCATCATCACTTCATATCTCGGCATTATCATCACATCATAGCCGTGGCATCATCACATCATGACATCATCACCGTGTCATCAATATCACATCATCATTATCATTACATCATCTTGACATCATTATCAACATCGTGACATCATCATCACCATCTAGGCATCATCACATAACCCTCTTTTCGTTATCATCACATCTTCATATTCAAGTCACATTTGTAATCAACCCCTTACTGAAAAAGTAATTTCCTCTGTCGTTTCAAGAAGGTCCTTCTCACTGGACTCAAGTTAAACCCAATCAGCTGGCCATTGATTCACGTAGCGCCTAGATTGAAATAACCCCCTGCACAAGTTTGGTCACCACGATCAATGGACCCAGCAACGTTTAAAACTTTACAGTTCAAACTTCAGTGTTACGTGGAGACAGGCCACATAAAACAAGTGGATGGGTTTGCAATCAATATATACTGTAACACGCTAGACTATACTACATACAATGCATTACACATTTCATAATTCATATAATTATTATTAATCTAATGGGAATTCACAGATTAAAGGGCATATAATTTCTTTCAAAAATAATTTGGGCATGCACTTTTGTAACTAACAATAAAACACGTTTGGAAAAATAACCAAGTGACGAGACGCATTTGTGAACTTATATACTATCCGTCCAAGGAAAAGAAAAAGAAAATTTTGATTTGACAATATCAAGCTCTCGGTCGATCTTTAAAACAAAGGCCGAGTTGATTGATATCTCCCATGACAATTTGATATATGTCTCCAATGACAATTTTGATTTCTGTTTCCCATGACAATTTGATCGATGTCTCACTTGAGAATTTGATATATATCTCCCATGACAATTGATAGTTGTTTCCCACGACAATTTGATTGATATCTCCTATGATCATTTTATAGATGTCTCCCATGCAATTTGATTGATGTCTCCCATGACAATTTGATAGATGTCTCCCATGACAATTTGATAGATGTCTCCCACGACAAGTTTATAGTTGTCTCCCATGACAATTTGATAGATGTCTCCCATGACAATTTGATAGATGTCTCCCACGACAAGTTTATAGTCAAATTCCATGACAATTTGTTTAATATCTAAATCGATGAATCGGCTGATGTTTCCCTAGACAAAGTCGTGGATGTTTCCCTTGACGAATTGCTTAAGGTCTCCCACGAAAGTAGCTTGATGTCTCCCAAGGTTTGAGTCCCTTTTATGTGCTTACATCCCTCCTCAGTAAATAATTGACATGATGCGATGAGTCTCTTGGAGTAGATACCAGCAGTCCTTTCCTTTATTAAACACAGCACACCTCCAGCAATAGAATTTTTAAAAATACCAAAGAACATAAAGTAGATACCATTCCTAATGTCATGTAATTCTGACAGGTAATATCTATCTATCTATCTATCTATCTATCTATCTATCTATCTATCTATCTATCTATCTATCTATCTATCTATCTATCTATCTATCTATCTATCTATCTATCTATCTATCTATCTATCTATCTAT